GATATTGCGAAAAATTCTCTGTGCCAATACTTTTGTCCGGCACTGTATGTATGTAGAAGTTAAATAAAATAATATTGATGCGGATGATGTTGTAAGGTTTTAAACTGCCATTTAAATAAAAATATATATTACAATACAAAAAAAAAAAAATAGAATATGTAGAATAGATTTTGTCCAAGAAAACTTGTAAAAATATATGACAAACACGAACCCATGAGAAAAATGCATTTTAAATAAAAGAAACGTTGTATATTAATTATTATATATATTATTAAACACAATTGCATGCAGTACATGTATGTATGTATGTATATGCACGTACATATATTTGCAAAATACATACACACAACTTATGTATGGATATTTATATGCTAAAAGATTAAGGCTAAATAAATTGATAATAAAATCAAAAATTTTAGATACTTAATAATAAAAAAAATTTCGTTTATAGCCATGTTTACTTTTCTTAAAGTTCAAAACCGACCTTTACATAAACTTTGGTATGCTCAGATCAAAATTAATCTTATGAATGTTCGAGGTTTATTAACTTTACAATAAAATATATACATACATACATACATAATTCTTGATATTATTATAGTAAAACATTGGCTGACCGCCGAATGCATTTAAATTTTTTTACATACGAATTAAGCCTATCTTTTAGGCTCATATATACATATTTTTTTTTTTACTTCTAACAGAATCAGTTATTTTATAGTATAAATTACACAAAAATAAAATAATAAAATAATAGTTTACTTATAATTTAAAAAATTTTTTTTTAGTTAGCTTTCTCTTATGAGTCTTTACTTTAGTTATATTAAACATTTTCTTATCCTTACCTTAATAAATAACACTAAGAAGTTGGTATTGAATAAATTCTGCAAATGAAGATGATCTAGTGTAAAAGTTTTCACATAATAAACTCATATACTCACTTAAATACAATACAAATTTAGCTACTTGAAATCACTCTCAACAATCTCTAAAGCAAATCATTCGTATAAGAATTATGCACTTAAAAGAAAACAATTCCATACTATGTAGTATGTATGAAGGAGAAGAAAATCTAAAGTGAAGTGCGGAAAATATAAACGCAAGCAAGGAAAATGTCTCGTAATTGTTGAAATTAAATTACGCTAATGCAAACAATATTAGTACTAAATTATGCAAGAAGAAGAAGAACAAAAGATAAGACGAAGTAAAAATTGCGCAGAGAAATCGTTTAGAAGGCAATTACATAAATGACGCAAAATAGCAAATCAAACACACATACATAAATACATTCATAAAAATGTAATTCTAATTCTAATAAAGTAACAAAAGTAAGATGAATTACGATGTAATCACCAACATACATACATACATACAAGAATGTAATAGAGAAAGTAATATAAAAATCGATATAACATCAACCGTTCGGGTACATATGAATGTGCAAGAGTGGAACGAAATCATAACAATTACAAATAAAGTTTCAAACTACCAAAATGTGTTTAGAGTTTTTACTGTTATTGACAGGGACGGAAAATAGTCATTATTTTTTTAATTCTAACCAAAAAAATCAACAAGTTGTAATCGTCGAAAAACAATTTTAATTAAACTTACTTATTGGTGTTCGTCAGTAGAACAGAATTTACAATAATTTTTATTTTTCGAATTTAATTAATAAAGATTAAAAATAATAATTAATTTTTGATTTTTATTTTTTCGATCAAAACTAATGATTATTTGATGATTTTTATTTTTTCGCTCAAAGATAATGATTATTTGATGATTTTTATTTTTTCGCTCAAAGATAATAATTATTATTGAGTTTTTTTTTCACTTAAGAATAATGATCATTCAAAATACTCAAAACCTATACCAACGTGATTTCCGACGTGTTCTGTACAGAAGTAGCGACACCCTAATAAAAGGATTAAGTCTCAAAATTTTCAGGTCAAAATTTTAGTAGATTGCGTTTGTATGGCCTTTTAAATTTTATAAAGTAATCATTATTTTTAAGAGGAAAAATAAAACTCAATAATAATTTTTATTTTTGAGGGGAAAATAAAAATCATAAAATGATCATTATTTGTGATCGAAAAAATACAAAAATAAATAATAATTATTTCAGTTGAGCGAAAAAAATCCAATAATAATTAATATTTTTAAGCGAAAAAAAACAATCAAAATAATGATTAAATGCCGATTTAAATTATTTTACTCACAATGATTACCGTCCTTGGTTATTGATTTGAATAGATACTGTCCAACCTCTTAAGCCTTAAAATTTGTAATTCAATGTTGCTATATTGAAAATCCCTAACCACTTTGTTATGATTGGAACAACATTAATTAAGCAATTGAATTTTAACGGGGCTTTGAAAATCAATTATACAAAGTCGCATCCATCGGACTATGGCAATACTTTTGCAATCTGTTTTATCTTAAAACAGAGTTCGGAATCGCATACTACTAGGTACATCTTTTTTGTCTTTTTTTTTAATGTCGAAACCTATCGTCTATCGGTCAAAAGAATACATTTGTACCATGTCCCGAAAAATCTGGCCTAGCTTTGACAGAAAAAGGCCACGATCTGGCTATGTTAGAACGTCCTCTTGAGTAAGCAAATGGCCAGCTGAAAAAATTCCATCTCATCTTACTTGAAATACCTACATACGAAAATCGGAGTGCGAAACGATTTTAAGTCGTACCGTATGGGTTCCTAATGGACAGTTCTTGGTCAGAATACTTATCAGCACTGAGTATTGAAGCGTAGCCAACTGCAGAAGTGCCAGTGGTCGCCTATCAGCCAGAAGGACTGGGCAACTTTGCATGTCGGGGTTTCCGCCCAACACTCGGGAGAGCCGACTACAAGACCATTTGTTCAGGAGTAGTCCACAGGAACTTCTATACCCTCCATATCACTAGCGATGACCTCAATGATGACCTGCCTAGCGAATTCATCTGCCAGGCATTCTCCTACAATACTGGTACAGTGGCAGTGGGATACAAATCAGTCTGAGCTCAGAGAGCTGAGTGAGAGCTCACCTCCACCAACTCTATGGTCGAACTTCGACCCATCGCTTAAAGAGGTTGCCACTCTCCAAGTTTCCAAAGATTGTCGAGTGCTCATACGGCGGGCTTCAAGGAGAAACCAGTGTTTATTTTGTAATTTTAATTAAAGTTTTAGAGCAAAACGTCGACATCAAGTTGTCTAGCGTCATCCTACGGACAATATTGAAAGGGTACGTACGCAAGGCACATAAATACAGGTAGAAGCCAAAATGACGTTGCTCTCATGAGAACCAAACCTTTAAACTTCAACTTGATTTTATTTTATTTCCTATATTTCGTTACGCTTAAAATGTCATGTCGTTTGTTTTTTTTGAATGTTCGTTAAAAACAAATTTTAATTAACATTTGCATTATTGTAGTGTTGTGCGGTTTATACTTAGTGTATGTGTTAAAAATGCAGGACCTGAAGCGTTGTTTTTTATGTGGTGTTAAATATAATGCAGACATCACTAATTTTTTTAACGTGCCTCAATGCCCTTGGCGTAAGGAGCGTTGGGAAAGCAGCTGTGGGGTAGAGCTGCAGCGAAATGCCTTGCTGTGCGTTAAGCATTTTAAAGCAGCAGATTTCATAAATGCACCAGGAGGTACAGGAAAGGCACGTTTGATGCCAAGTGCTCTTCCTATGACCCTTATGCCGGAAAGTCCTTCCAACAACACTGCAACTCATAAATCAAGTTGTGAAAGCTTAATAAATGATCGCGCTTATTTGTGTTCCGTTGTTTTATTGATTGCCCAACGTTATGCCTAGTACATATATCGCTTTATACATACATTTGTATATTATACAAAATTAAAACAGGTACTATAAATATAAACTTTCAATGTATAAAAAAATGGAAAAGAACATACAAATTAACAAATTTTAACTAAAGAAAATAAATAAATAAATACAAAACTTCAAATTTACTTAAAAACGTCAACCAGCGAAATGTAATTTTTTTATTTTTCTTTACACACGCTCATTTTTATTTTTACTCTCCCGAAAACTTTGACTTTTGTAGGTTTGATGTCAATTTGGCTTCTACCTGTTTTTATTGTACCATGGTACGTACGTAAGGTATATTGAAAATAGCAAAAATAACTTCTGAAACACTCTAATGTATATGTGAGTATGTGTCAGTAATAGTACCACCCCATTTCGATTTAGATCTCAAATGGAATCGAAATAAAAAATAAAAACATGTTAGTACACTTATCACCAGGGAACGGATTTTTAGGACCTGAAAACCTATAAAAAAGGCAAAATAAAACAAGGAAATAGGCTGGAAAAGGCAAAATAAAATAGCGAAAAAGGCAGGAAAAGGCACTAAAAAAAGACAGAAAATACAAAGAACAATCAAAAAATACATTTATTTTAGAAATGTTTATATTACAAGTAAAAAGAGAAAAACTATGAA